TTGTTTAGGGGCGGTCGGGTAGCCTAGTGGTTAAAGCTTTCGCTCGTCAGGCCGAAGACCCGGGTTCTATTCCCGACATGGGTACAATGTGTGAAGCCCATTTCTGGTGTCCCCCGCCGTGATATTGCTGGAATATTGCTAAAAGCGGCGTAAAACCATACTCACTCACACTTTATTCTTTCCCAGCTTTTCAACTGACTTCCATGTTGAAGTAAGAAACTCTGTTATAAGGATCTAGGCAGTACGTTGCTCAGTGCATTGTATCGATCACAACTTTGCCAGAAGACACTGGAGGTCAGATCAATCCCAGTCTGTGATATACGACACCTGACATGTTGTGATATGACAGACACACAAAGCTGTGTTAACAAGGCACTTGTGGAGTACACGATGCAACTGAAGATGAAACATTGTGAAGATACAATGTGTCTTTATACATATCCAGAAGGGCACGGGGAAGTAAAATCAGTTCATTCCCGGATTCACAAGTCCTGGATACGGAGTTATGGCCCTTGGTATGTAGTGCTAGATACAGATGAACAAAGAAACATTGTTGGTCCCATTTGTAGAAAGGTTATTTTCCAAGACTCTTGTCTTGTTCCTGCTCTGACATTTTAACATGTTCTCCTTATCCAGGACAAGTTGATGTTATTTTGTTATTTTGATATGTTTACGACATACTCAGGGTTGAACACAATGCATAGTCAAATTGTTGCCTTGAATGGATTCAAGTTTGTAATTTGTATATTATTGTGCCTTTGATAATACAGTAAAGATATACAAATAAATAATTGTATTGAAATCGAAACATATCTGCCAAATTTCCCTCAAGGTATCAAAAAACAATTTTGTTATGAATGTATTTTCAAAGCACTGCATCAATTCAACTGTCATACGCAATAGAGAGAAATGAAATGTATTTTTATGAGACTAGGATTTTTTAGCAAGCTCAAACTATCAGGTAAGCAAACTTCATGCCACTTTATAAAGAGTTTGCACTGAGATTAACTTTGACATTGTCTAATCAATAGTAATATGTGTATAACATTGGTGTCACTCATTATTAAAATTCACTGCAACTGTCATGCTTTGGGATTATCTTTTCTTATCAAATGTTGTCCTACATTGGTCAGATGTCTTTGTCATAGAACTGAGGCCAGGTTGTAGGTGCCTTGCATTAGACATATCATGGTTACTACTCAACTTCTAAAAAAGAAACTGAATTAAATAAGTGTGGCTCCAGGGTAATAGATCCCAGGCGAGAGAGGCGACTAAGGGGATCGGGCGGTCAGGCTCGCTGACTTGATTGATGCATGTCATCGTATTCCAGTTGAATGGATCGGTGCTCATGATGTCAGTCTTTGGTTGTCTGGTCCAGACTTGATTATTTACAGACTGCTGTTATATAGGTGTACTATTGTGGTGTGTGACGTTAAACTACCAACAAACAAACACTCTCGGCTTTACTCCCACATTAACGTGAAAAATGATCAATGCATGTGTGCATTAATATGGAAGAAAAGTCCAGCGCGATGCAGGTTTTAAGAGGTTTGACCGCCATTGTGAAAACTAGGAGCATGAGTGCAGTGGGGACAACCCAATAACCATAATCGGGGACATCTGGGATTCGAACCCATACTCACAGGATCCTGGCACACATAAACGTTGCAAACACTCAGCCACAATTATGCTCTACACCATTCTCTATTGTGAGGGCAGCATATCAAGAAACCAAGAAACCAAGTGTTGATGTTATTCGAAATCCCTGAGGCACAGCCAACACACCTGGATAGGGACCGTTTCCTCATCCTCCATGTCCACATGAAACCCGTCCTTACTCTGAGGGAGACCCTATAGAGGTGTCCTTGTCTCATGGGAGAAGTGACTTTGCAGTGGCATGTATGAGCGTTCGCTTGCAAGATGGTACGGACTCCCCACTATATTGTGTAGGCGTCATGGTACTTGCTGCACTTTTCTGTCTGAGTAGGGTATACATGCTGATCTGCAGCATGTTATCTCACACGCACGCACGCACGCACGCACACACACGCTCGCACACACACACACGGCGCGGCGTTGAACCCCATTTCACCCTTGTCTGGTCAGGCCTTCTGACTTGGCTGATTGCTGCTCTCAAGTACCCCGTTGACGAGTATAGTTGCATATATTTTCAGTCACTAGTTTGCATAATCTAGACTAAAACGCCATGACGAATGGCACGGGTTTGGTGCTGACGAACAAAGAAAGATAGCCATAGCAAATCGGGATTCAAACCCACGTTTCTGGCACACCAGGGACACACACATGCAGAGCAAATTCCGGGCCTGAGATAACTGGGCCATCAGTGCCCCCTAACCCGATTATATGTTTTGTTATGTTCTCTAAACCGAAGTTGATTTTTCCCATTAGGCGACAGCAACGAATACATCTGTAGCCTCTAAAGACAAACACACTCTTGTGAAGATCCGGGTTGGAATTGATCTGCAGAAACCCACGTGTGTCCTAAGAGGCGACTCTTCTGTCGTCATCGGACTGTCAGTCATGCTGACTTGGTTGATGCATGTCATCTAACCAAATTGCGTAGATCCATGTTCATGGTGTCACTCACTGGATTATCTGATGCACACTCCAGTGCGGAGTTCAACAACAAACAAACAGAAACAGCCGTACATAAAGACATGCTTCATTGTTATACACTTTGAGTGAAACAACAAATAATCAACATGAATGGGGAAACGGTCGCATTCCGTGTCAAGTCCACAGCAAATGTACATCATTGTCCAGAGGTTGAGGCCATTTCACAACTTTCGATCTTCAATCAAGCTCGTTTGTCTATGATAATCTAAAATATAAACAACCTGTCAAATATGCAACATTTTACTACTAAAAAATGGGATATTGATCAACCGATAATTGAATGTAAAAACTCAATTTTGAATCGTTCTACGATAGACGTGAAGTTTGCCATCAGCACGGGTTTGGTGCTGACAAACTTAGGTACATAATCAGACCGAACCCGATTATATGTAATAAGTCACTTCGTTACAACCGTAGTTAATTCATTCCATTTGACGACAGCAGTTAATACATCTGCAGGCTCTAGAAACAGACATACCCCAAGAGTAGATCCGGGATAGAATGGATCTTCAGCAGACCATGCTCGTCGTAAAAGGCGACGGGTGGTTAGGTTCGCTGACTGCAATCACTGGATTGTCTGGTCGCATGTGGCGTTAAACAACAAACAAGCAAACAATTAAACAGACATAACATAGAAATTCATCATTAGTGTACGCTTTGATCAAAACTACAAACAATGAGCATGGAAGGGGAAACAATCACATTCCTCGAGATACCGTTTCACATCGTCCACACAAGTGTACATCAGTCTCCAGAGGTTAAGCCATTTAACAGATTTCGAACTTCAAGCTCATATGTCTTGGAGATATTAAAATATCTACACAATGTTAACCATATAGCAATGACTACAAGAGAAGGGGACTTTGATCAACAGATAACTGAATTAATATATTGAACATTAGAATCCTCGTCGTTAAGTGAAGTTACTGCTGAACATGGCCCATAATGTCTAAACAAACAATTTACTGCCATGTCCCCTTCAGTCCCGAACGCCGTCCACATACGTTGTCCATATATCTATACCTCTGGGAAAATGTTAAGCATGTTAAGTGTCCCATAACAATAGTTATTTGACTACCCATTCACCCTTCTGCTTCTCCGTACGAATCATCATGCAGTCATCTGGAGAAGCATGCATTGCATTGTCCTATAAGCAGATATCAGCATCAAAAGGTCATCAATATCACATTATGAGTACATTCTAAACATGGAGATCTATCAAACTGATGTCACGAACTAAATCCAAGCAGTCCACAATTCATTTCAAATTAATTGTTTGTATAATATCAACAGCCCTTACAATCTATCACTAGTCTCGGACCAGCAGACAAGTGGCCATGTCGACCCGACATAACTCCCAACCAATCACCCGTTAACACGAGTATTTCATCACCTGATATTAAAGGGTTCCAATGTTCCGTACTGTAAGTCTATACTTTATATGTAACTGTTCACATTATTATATATGATTTGATATCTGATTGCAGACACAATATTGAATATACGAGTCAGATTATTAAAATAATGTAAACGGTCGGAATGATACCAACAAATTATGCTTATAAAGGGTATACTATAAGTTTACTAAATCATTTTACCTTTGCAGCAACACCTGTACATTCTAAAGGACAAGATGGTTGTTGAGTTAAATAGAATTAATGTTAAAATGTCAATATTATCAATTTGAGTGATTATTGGAAACAGTTCAACAACAAAAGTCTTTTACTTAATCAAGCTATTCACATCTTAATATAAGGAATATATAACATGGTTTTGTACAGCAAACACGATATACGATTGACATATTTAAATGTGCATAGTCAACATTTATGAATGATAAGAAAAGTGAGAGTACAAATAATAAATAAAGCAGAGAGATTAAGGGCGACAGATGTTGGAGTTAGTGTAAACAACAAACGGAAGTTGACAGAATTGATAATTGAAGGCACACATTCTCTTTCCTCACTTCACAAACATTCACTCATGATGCCCTCTTGATGTTATTGAAATGTGAACATTCAAAATGAGATGAAGACATTCTTTATATCAAATACACTCACAATGACTGCAGTCTGGTGGTGTAGTAATTGTACATGAATTGTCTTACCTACTCCTAAATTATTAGAGTAGTTGACAAATATCATAATGGAGACGTGCATGTCTCAGATCCTTTTTTCTGATAGTAGACTGTTTCTCTACTGCATTTCAAACTGCATATGTAGTCACACCAATATATCTTTGTAGAATAAAGAATAGTACAGACGTATATGTATGGCACACTAATTTAAACAAAACATCGCAAATGATGTATTTCATATATTTTTGTAAACAAAGAAGCTTTTACACTAAAAAATGGTGTTTTAGTATAAAACATGAGGGGGATAAAACTAATGAAACAAAAATATACAATATATGCAAAAACAAATATGGGGATACTTTATACAGGTGGGGGCGGGAATAACATAAATGTCCACCGATTTAATCTTCTGGGGGCGTGCCTGTACCAATGAAAGTTGTCCGGGGGAGGGGCGGGGGGAGGTGATCGGTGTGTGGTGGTGGTGGGTGTTATTTTGCGACACTGGGACAAAACTGCTAATGTGTCGTTTCTCAACACCAGCTGCGGTTTTCTAAATTTAGATGTGACATACTGTTTCCGGTTCCAAATTCAATACAGGGACAAATATACAAATAACACAGCTCTACACTGTAAACACGGCATGTGCATACTGAAATTAGATTCTTTCCCAAATACAGGGAGTCGTGCAACTTACCTGCATCAGCACCTGTAGTTGGTGGATCAGAAGGGAAACGGTAGCCTCCATTAACAATGTCGTAGGAAAACCCATATACAGCGAATCTGCTGGCAGAGCGGACGATGTATCTGTCCAATGAACAATTTCTTCCCGCTTTGTAATCGCTGCCGGGGATGTCCACCCAGTCCAGTGTAACAGGTACCATAACACCAGTAAACACTTCAATATCCGTTACGTGTTGTTTAGTCAGTATATTTATACACTCTGTATCAGGAATCAATGCACTGTTCACGAAATACATAACTGGAACTACAACAACAATGCCACGATCATAATAATATGGGTCGTTTCTACACAGGGTTGCCATGACAGGCCTTGTGGCATTAAGATATAGACTCTCATTATAGGCGAGGTATTGGCGATATACACGGTTGTCACCCAGAGAGAATGTAGATCCATTGTTCAACATAATTTCAGTGTTGCTCTGGTCACTAATAACTTGCAGCTGGTATGTCGCGTTCCTTTGATAGGAGCCGTCACCTGTATACATAACATACTCCGTCCCATGATGTCGTACAGGTAATAGTTGCGTCACGGCCGTGAAGGAATCGTATTGCACTGCCCCACTGAACACAGCGACAGTGTTTGTTGTGTTGATTACAGTTCCAGTCAGGTCATAGTCACTCTTCATCGTGAAGGTCTGATACTCATCTAGAGTCACGTGAATCGTGTCTCCGTCGTTGTAAGTCATGTTGTCATAGGTGACGTTCCCCACCAGCATCAGTGTGATGTCCACGTCTGTCTTGTGGTTGTGGCTAGCTATCACTAACACCACGTGGTCCATGTCTCCCAGACAGGTGGATACTACATACCTTGACCCTAGGGCAGAGATCGGGAGGGGAGAAAAGACGCCATTTCCAATGTGTGTGTGAACGCCCATGTTCTTACCAAAGACATGGATTACGTAAGCCTTGTTTTCCACACCCACCGTCACCCACAATGACGAATCTATGTAAGCATCAGTGATCCCGTATGGTGTTACAGTCCATGAGACGTTATATCCCAGCTGTGGATAATCAACCAGAAAGGATCCCCCTGTTTCCCCAGCTGCCACTTCAACTACATCAGTATACGGCTGATATTGAAAATATGCCAGTAAGTAGCTCACACCTGGAAGAAGCATACACAGTTTGTAAGTAGGGTTTTAGATGGATAACAACTGTACATCATAGCTTCTGACACTTCCTCGGTAAGTCACAGTGACGGTGTAACTGTAGGGCATTCTGAACATTCCCATGCTGAATGTAGTTTTACAGCGATACAGTTGGTTGTTATGTGACTGTCAGTATACATATGTGGCCACATGTACCGAATGGAAGTGTATGAAACAGTTAATATGAAAACATAATTATCATATAATGGGTAGGTTTCCCGGCAGGATAAAGCCAACGGATAAAAACGATATCCGTTGGGGTCATATGCGGATAAAGATGCAAATATCAAAGGTCAAGTAGGGACTACTTTTACTGTTTATAAATAAACATGGCGTCGCCCTTGTCATTCGGCGATCGAGTCAGAATTAACCATCGGGAATATGGATAAACTACAGGGATAATTGCTATCATTATCAAAAGAACAGTCATATAAACTGAAAATCAGTGTCTAACTGTGACGTAGCTAAGGCATTTTATAAGTTTTGGCAACTTGGGCGATATAAATTTCGAAACAATTTTGCGAGGGCACGAGGCCTAGCCAAGCGGGATCAGTAACCATATCTGCAGCTTGAAACCTTCTCCACAAATTAAAATAGTTGGATTTGGCCGAAATATGTTTGAATTGCTACCTTGTTTCGTTTTGTCGCTGTGTGTACATCTGACTACACTTCTTAACGTTATGACAGGACCGACCGACTGTCAACAACGTCTGACCGTGGCCGTGACGTCTCATTGACTAGGGTTAGAGTAGCTTCCCTTTGACAAAAGGCAGTTACTCTAGCGGACAGACCGATGGATTGCCGCGAAAGGCAATTAAAAACAATTGTTGTTTTGCGTATATGTTGCTTCGCCACTGTATAAGAAACAGATTTCAGTTGGAACTATATTGGTTTCTGTCACTGTCCGACTGACACATCACTTACCCTGTGACGTAATAAATATTAATGCGCGCATTCCAGGAAAACTCGCAATGTTTCGGTAATGTTTGTGAGAGAGGGAAAGCGATTTTGAAGCACAAGAATTAAAGAATGACATTATATGATAAAGAGGTTATCAGGCTTGTGTGATTGGGGATGGTAAATATCCTGCATTAGGAATAAACATTGTATTTAGCGAGCCTTGGCGAGCTAAATACAATGTTTATTCCTAATGCAGGATATTTACCATCCCCAAACACACAAGCGTGATAACCTCTATGTATGTGCATGTGTGCTGCTGTGGATATGAATACGCCCCACTGTTATTATCGGTGTTAGCGAATCAGAGAGTCGCCATACATTTGGAAAGACAAGTTGAGCACCACCCTTCTTTATGTTCCTTTACCCCGTCCTGTCATATATCTCTGTACATATGACGTTGATGTCTGATATATGTATAAAATACCACCGATATCTGTTGAAAATGTAGCTTCAGAATATTGTGTGTTTCTTAAGATCGTCACGAGTTCTGAGTCATATGGTAAGAAGCAAAGCTTTAGAAGGATGTTCAAAAATCTTTAGCTAGTCAGTTAAAGCACATAACTTTAGATACTCGATTCCGGTATAGTATTTGAAAACGAGCATGGCATAATGGAAACAAAAACAAATGTGCCAAGTGATTTTAATATATTTTTATTTTATATTGAATGTGCTCCGAAGCGACCATTCTTTGTTTTATCCCCATAATGCCGACATTTTACCAAAACTCAAATAATAGATCTATTCAGATATATTTAACCATTTTATATATCATAAGGCTTATAATATATTCAACAACAAAAGTTCCTGTGACACCAATATTTTAGTGTATTTTTCAAGCAAGTAAAGTTTGTTTTTCAATATTGTAGTTCTTGTATTGAATCAACTCACAAAAACGCAACTGCTACAGAAAAGCATGCATTTCATGCAAAAGTTGACTTTTATGCAAGCCCCATGCATTTTACTAGCCAAGAATGGGTATAAAAACATGCATGTTAACGGGATTCCATATGCATTGTTTAGCTGCGTGCTGACAACAACCACTCAGAAAAAACAACAAAATTAGGCAATGTATTCAACTTTACGAAATGCCACGCCTGTCCGAAAATGAGCGTCTGCGAGCCATTGGAATGCTTGAGTTAGGATCGAGTCAACGTGATGTTGCAAGACAACTTAACGTCCACAGAAACACCATTTGGTGTTTATGGCAACGTTGGCAACAGATGAATGCAGTCAGAGACCATCCTCGGAATGGCTGACAACGCGTAACCAATAATCAACAAGACAACTGGTTTCGAACAACACACGTACGAAATCGATTCCAGTCAGCAACAGTGACTGCAAGAAGAATCCCTGGCCTTCGACGAATATCTTCACAAACCGTATGTCGTCGCCTCAGATGTGCAGGGATTGTCGCCAGAAGACCCGCCAGATGCGGGACGGCCATGCAGTGGGGAGAAGTTCTATTCACTGACGAGTCTCGTTTTCACCACAGCCACAGCGATGGACGGATTCGAGAGAACCGACGTCGAGGTAAGTCATTGTGTCATGGAAGAAGATCGGTTCGGGGGCGGCAGCGTTATGGTATGGCGTGGGATTACAGCAAGACAGAGGACCCATTTTATAGTGGTAGAGAGAAATCTCAATGGACAGCGCTACCGCGACCATCGGCCCTGTTGTTCTACCGTTTTTGCGTCGTCATGGCCTTGGCATTACCTTTCAACATGACAACGCCCGGCCTCATATTGCTTGACTTGTTCAGGATTCTCTTCAACAAAACAACGTGAATGTCATCCCCTGGCCGGCTCGCTCCCCTGATCGCTCACCAATCGAGCACATGTGGGATGATATGGATCGGCGCCTTCGACGTCAACCACGTGTTCCACAGACACTCCAGGAACTTCGAAACATGCTCCAGCAGATATGGACAGATATCCCACAGGACTTTGTGCGACGCCTGGTCCATTCCATGAGACGAAAATGTGTTGCTTGGATCGCAACCAGAGGTGGACACACACGCTATTGATTTGTAAATTGACATGTTGGCATGTCCATGGTTTTTTTTATGAAATCACGCATTTTCTCAGTCAGTATGGCAAATTAAACCATTTGAACACTTACAGGAGTCTTTTATCCGTTCCAAACCGAAATTGTTTCAGATTTGGTAAAAAACAAAACTTTGCATTAAATCTTATTCGATGTCACAGGAACTTTTGTTGTTCAGTATAATATATTTTAGTATTACAACTTTGAACTACATGTTTGTTATTCCTTATATTGTGTATACTTGCATCACATCGGGCTTTCCCCCCACATCAAGCTAACATGCCATGATATAACTGAAATACTGATCAAAGCGGCTTTAAACAAATCTCGTATACTCAAAGAAGCTATGTCTATACTAATACCATCAGCGTATTCTTGTCCGCCAGTCTGGGTGTTGTTAGATACAGGTGTGGGTAGTGTCGTTGTACCTGCGGCAGTTGAGGCCGGGGTTTGTGTCGTCGGAGTTGCTGAACCTAAACAGAAACAAGATCTTAGATACTCTTTTAAGAGTTGCTAGTCCGAGGTTTCAAATCACATACAATTCTTCTTAACATGAAAACAGCTGATATTAATGTGGCAGATTCGCGTATTAACTACTCTACATTCGATAGATTGCGAACTTTCGGGAAATTTATGTCATGTCTAATTCACGCATGTGGAATATACATAATCCCTAAAATTACATGCTTATTATGTATATATACGTATATATGACCTTTTTGGTACTATTCTTTTGGTATCAAGACTTGTTTGTGCATTCCAGCTCTTGTACAGATTCTTTTAGAAATGCTCCAATTTGGAATGCTTCATGTAGTCGCAGCTGGCAAAACTACCTGGGACTCACATAGTGGTAGGGTATGTAATAAGGTTTCCTTCTCTGCAGTCATGCAGAATATAGAATGACAGACACGACGTGACTAGGCCCTGGGGTTACTTTGACACAGGGGAACCCAGGCGTACAGTAGAGGACATAACAACATGTACAGACAAATATTCCCATTGTCCTCTCCATGCCCCACGTATTAACCTTGAAGTTCAAAACTACCTGGGGGAGATGTTGATCAATCAACTACTTAGAATAACAGATGTGCTTGAAAGGAATTTGATAGTGGAGGCATGCCTCATGAGTAAATGTCTAGTTGAAAAGAAAGACAAGGTAAGAAATGTTGACGAGATAGTTCACTGTATCAGGTCCTGTGGAGTTTCATTTTCTTTTTGGGAAAAGAGATAGACCAAAAAACTAAATTGGACTCTCGGTACAGGAAAAGAAATAAGCTTTTGAATGATCTACCTCCAAAGCTTTGATTGTAATTAAATCCTGACACCGAGAGCCAGCGTCCCTGGTTTTGTTGCTTGCTATGGCTCTGTTCGTGATTCAATTGTCAGGCCTTTGAAAAAATTAATGATGACATAAATAAGATACACCAACCAAAATCAAATGTACGGAATCGAATGGAGAACCATAGCGATCTTAATTGAGAAAAGAGCCAAAACACCAAAAGGAAGTTTGTGTATTGGCAAGAAACGATGAATGAAGTGAGACAGGCGAAAAGGTCAAACATAAACAAAGAAATTACATCTTAACCATTCCGAGATGTCAGTTGGAGTGAACTGTCAGTCTCGGAGCTCCGTGACTTCTTACAAACTCATAATGTGACAACAAAGTCCACTTCAAGGCCCAAACTTCTGGAGATAACTTCTGGCATAACTGATATTTGTACGTCTGTTTATGTGTTTAGGACATGTGATATGCTTGTGTTTAAGTTTAGCATAATACAATATATTATTAATTTCTTCCTGAAAATACAATCTTACCTCAGTGCAACATTTTGTTTATGTGGTGTGTTAGCTGATATTTCGACTTTTAAGGTGCTTGTATAATTGTTTTGTGCATAAGGTAATATCATCCCTTATGGTAGTTTTTTTCAAACAGGTTATATCGCAAAATATACTTGAAATGATTACATACTTTACATAATATACATCAATATATGATAAGAATATTAAAGTATTATGTACCAAAGTACCAAAGCATGTGTTATTGCAAAAAGCTGTTTTAAACGTGTCCTGAAGAAACTCAAATTATGATTATGATAGTCTCACTTGATTATCCCCCGAAACAGATTCAACTGGGCGAAAAGTGTATCACAACAAATCAGCGATGACACCAGGTGTTAGCGAACAAGGGTCAGCATGTCCTGCTCTACTGGTAACGCCTATCAAGTCTTTGTTAAACAGTGTTTGATTACAAAAATAACTAATTGTTATATCACGCGGGCATCAAACACAAACATGTGTTGTTATACCTCATTCTTTCTTCATAACAAACCCAGTTAACGCAAAAGATCAGTTGACACCGTGGAAACAATGTACTTGTGGATAACTATTCAAGGAATATGTATAAAACAGGGTTGTTAAATCAGGGAATATGTATACTCACTGAAACGTTTAGGGAATATTCCCTGCGTGAATCAGACATTACATATTTAATGTAGCATATACACTACATTCAAACATCATCGGTGAATACATTGGAAATATTTCGTGCAGTCGTTGTTTTTCAACCAACAAATCAAGCGACGGCGATAGAGCAACAACGAGTACACAGACCAACGGACACTCAGATAACAGTAGGGTTTGCGCAAAGTTTATGGTGTAGGGCTCATTTGACTTTAAACAGCCTCATTTAATTTAACTGACTAAACAAATAGACACACGTCCCTACTACACCGCATACCGGTGCAGCGTATACACAGCAAATTATCTCACCTAACATTAAAATTCTAGCTTCTGATTGGTGAAGGAGCGGGCAATTATTTTCCATGTAGCCTGCTCATGTAGCCTGCTCATGTAACTCGCTCATTTTACCCCGCTGAGAAATCAATCAGAACCTGCCTTAGGTAACTTGCTTATCGCACACCAGTATCATTGAGCTAAAATTATCCGATGTTTATCCGAGGGCATTGGGTAAATGGTTGTATGGTTTTACTGAGTGAAACTTTGGACATATATTCCCGGTCTGTATGAACGAATGTCAGTGAGATAAATTCGTTGTCAACCGATACCCTGTGTGATAGCCCATGTATCTGAGAACTGGGGGTATATAGGCTCTCACACAGGGTACATCACACCTGACGGCTCGGGGTACATAGGCTCTCACACCGGGTACATCACACCATGGCATATACCCCCCCAAATCGGTTGACAGACTGACTGACTATGTATAGTTTTACGCCGCTTTTAGCAATATTCCAGCAATATCACGGCGGGGGACACCAGAAATGGGCTAGACACATTGTACCCATCGAACCCGGGTCATCGGCGTGACGAGCGAACGTTTAACCACTAGGCTACCCGACCCCCCCCCCCCCCCCCCCCCCCCCCCCCCCCCCTCCAAAATCGGTTGACAACTTATAGTGTAGATATTCAAAGCAATAGTGTACCAGTATAACAGAGGGGAAAAGCAATAGGGGAATCAAACATGCCTAAAGTGTGGACAGGCAACGATGTAACCACAAGGCTACCTAACCACTCTTTTGATATAAGAAAACCTTTGGGAAAACACGTACGAGCAGCTCACAGTAACTTCTACACACAATCAGTTATTTTGCACACGTCGGTGCGAAGTTCAGTGAGGATACGTCTGCTAACGCCACAGATACGATAAACTCTTTCCAGGGGACTGTTGGTAAAGTGATGCTTAAGCCAACCAGAATGTTCTTATTACAACAAAAGATAACGTACCGTCAACGATTCCAAGGTATACCAGAAGTAGTGCCACCTCTATGAAACGCTCCATTGTTACAGACCTTCGCCTGTACGGTATAGAGCTGTGACTACGCTGTTTGGCAGGGTGGTTTCAGGTAACCTGTAATGTTTGAGGGTCACCTCACTGTGCCCTCATCTATTGTATACTGCGTGTGTTCATGGCCTTGCTGTATGATACTGGTGATACTGCTTTTGTTGATAGCCTGGCGATAAGATATCGATGACATTGCTTGTGTTCATGGCCTGGCTGTATGATACTGGTAATACTGCTTGTGTTCATGGCCTTGCTGTATGATACTGGTGATACTGCTTGTGTTGATATCCTGGTGATAAGATATCGATGACATTGCTTGTGTTCATGGCCTGGCTGTATGATACTGGTAATACTGCTTGTGTTCATGGCCTTGCTGTATGATACTGGTGATACTGCTTGTGTTGATAGCCTGGCGATAAGATATCGATGACATTGCTTGTGTTCATGGCCTGGCTGTATGATACTGGTGATACTGCTTGTGTTGATAGCCTGGCGATAAGATATCGATGACATTGCTTGTGTTCATGGCCTTGCTGTATGATACTGGTAATACTGCTTGTGTTGATAGCCTGGCGATAAGATATCGATGACATTGCTTGTGTTCATGGCCTTGCTGTATGATACTGGTGATACTGCTTGTGTTGATAACCTGGTGATAAGATATCGATGACATTGCTTGTGTTCATGGCCTGGCTGTATGATACTGGTGATACTGCTTGTGTTGATAGCCTGGCGATAAGATATCGATGACATTGCTTGTGTTCATGGCCTGGCTGTATGATACTGGTAATACTGCTTGTGTTGATAGCCTGGCGATAAGATATCGATGACATTGCTTGTGTTCATGGCCTGGCTGTATGATACTGGTAATACTGCTTGTGTTGATAGCCTGGCGATAAGATATCGATGACATTGCTTGTGTTCATGGCCTTGCTGTATGATACTGGTGATACTGCTTGTGTTGATAGCCTGGCGATAAGATATCGATGACATTGCTTGTGTTCATGGCCTGGCTGTATGATACTGGTAATACTGCTTGTGTTCATGGCCTTGCTGTATGATACTGGTGATACTGCTTTTGTTCATGGCCTGGCTGTATGATACTGGTAATACTGCTTGTGTTCATGGCCTTGCTGTATGAAACTGGTGACACTGCTTGTGTTGAAAGCCTGGCAATAAGATATCGATGACATTGCCTGTGTTCATGGACTGGCTGTATGATACTGGTGATACTGCTTATGTTCATGGCCTTGCTGTATGATACTGGTAATACTGCTTGTGTTGATAGCCTGGCGATAAGATATCGATGACATTGCTTGTGTTCATGGCCTGGCTGTATGATACTGGTAATACTGCTTGTGTTGATAGCCTCGCGATAAGATATCGATGACATTGCTTGTGTTCATGGCCTGGCTGTATGATACTGGTAATACTGCTTGTGTTGATAGCCTGGCGATGAGATATCGATGACATTGCTTGTGTTCATGGCCTTGCTGTACGATACTGGTGATACTGCTTGTGTTGATTGCCTGGCGATAAGATATCGATGACATTGCTTGTGTTCATGGCCTGGCTGTATGATACTGGTAATACTGCTTGTGTTCATAGCCTGGCGATAAGATATCGATGACATTGCTTGTGTTCATGGCCTGGCTGTATGATACTGGTGATACTGCTTGTGTTGATAGCCTGGCGATAAGATATCGATGACATTGCTTGTGTTCATGGCCTGGCTGTATGATACTGGTAATACTGCTTGTGTTCATGGCCTTGCTGTATGATACTGGTGACACTGCTTTTGTTCATGGCCTTGCTGTATGATACTGGTGATACTGCTTGTGTTGATTGCCTGGCGATAAGATATCGATGACATTGCTTGTGTTCATGGCCTGGCTGTATGATACTTGTAATACTGCTTGTGTTGATAGCCTGGCGATAAGATATCGATGACATTGCTTGTGTTCATGGCCTGGCTGTATGATACTGGTGATACTGCTTGTGTTGATAGCCTGGCGATAAGATATCGATGACATTGCTTGTGTTCATGGCCTGGCTGTATGATACTGGTAATACTGCTTGTGTTCATGGCCTTGCTGTATGATACTGGTGACACTGCTTTTGTTCATGGCCTTGCTGTATGATACTGGTGATACTGCTTGTGTTGATTGCCTGGCGATAAGATATCGATGACATTGCTTGTGTTCATGGCCTGGCTGTATGATACTGGTAATACTGCTTGTGTTGATAGCCTGGCGATAAGATATCGATGACATTGCTTGTGTTCATGGCCTGGCTGTATGATACTGGTGATACTGCTTGTGTTGATAGCCTGGCGATAAGATATCGATGACATTGCTTGTGTTCATGGCCTGGCTGTATGATACTGGTAATACTGCTTGTGTTCATGGCCTTGCTGTATGATACTGGTGACACTGCTTTTGTTCATGGCCTGGCTGTATGATACTGGTAATACTGCTTGTGTTCATGGCCTTGCTGTATGAAACTGGTGATACTGCTTGTGTTGATAGCCTGGCGATAAGATATCGATGACATTGCCTGTGTTCATGGCCTGGCTGTATGATACTGGTAATACTGCTTGTGTTCATGGCCTTGCTGTATGAAACTGGTGATACTGCTTGTGTTGATAGCCTGGCGATAAGATATCGATGACATTGCTTGTGTTCATGGCCTGGCTGTATGATACTGGTAATACTGCTTGTGTTGATAGCCTGGCGATAAGATATCGATGACATTGCTTGTGTTCATGGCCTGGCTGTATGATACTGGTGATACTGCTTGTGTTGATAGCCTGGCGATAAGATATCGATGACATTGCTTGTGTTCATGGCCTGGCTGTATGATACTGGTGATACTGCTTGTGTTGATAGCCTGGCGATAAGATATCGATGACATTGCTTGTGTTCATGGCCTTGCTGTATGATACTGGTGATACTGCTTGTGTTGATAGCCTGGCGATGAGATATCGATGACATTGCTTGTGTTCATGGCCTGGCTGTATGATACTGGTAATACTGCTTGTGTTCATGGCCTTGCTGTATGATACTGGTGATACTGCTTGTGTTCATGGCCTGGCTGTATGATACTGGTGATACTGCTTGTGTTCATGGCCTTGCTGTATGATACTGGTAATACTGCTTCTGTTCATGGCCTGGCTGTATGATACTGGTAATACTACTTGTGTTCATGGCTTTGCTGTATGATACTGGTGATACTGCTTGTGTTGATAGCCTGGCGATAAGATATCGATGACATTGCTTGTGTTCATGGCCAGGCTGATGATACTGATGGTGCTGCTTGTGTTCATGACCTTGCTGTATGATACTGGTGATACTTCTTTGTGTTGATGACCTGGGCCCCGTTCCAAAAAGCGATATTAGCGTTAAGATGATCGTAACTCCCATATTTTAACATAGGCTTACGATGATCTTGCGCTAAGATCGCTTTTTGGAATGGGGCCCAGGCTGTATAATATTGATGATATCTTCACGTTAACATCTGAGATAACAGCAGTCTTTCCGGTCAATTTCTATGTAATTTTATCTGAAATCCAAGATTATGTTCATTTCCGTGTTTGCTGAACCCTGTGGCTCCTTTAGGAGAGTTACCGTGACATCAGTTCCTGGCAGAGCTTCCAGTTGCTCCACTTCCTCAACCAGCTGCTGGAGAAGCCTGCAGTGAAGGCCGAGACTCTGCTTTACATGGCCAAGAAGTACCCTCACATGGCCAAGTCACACAATGCAAAGGTCAGTTGGTAGTGAGGTCAAAGCAGTAACAGAATAAGATTATACCTTTTTTCCTTATTTTGAATATTAGTTCTATCAATATTTTTAAAAAATGAGTAACAATGCTATTGAGGGCTACAAATATTCCACAGAAACCTATTGTTTGTATGTCAGAAAATGTTTTATTTCAATATCGTTGGTTTGTTGCATGACTTAATTTTGTGCAAACTGTTGACAATCATCAATGACAATGTCATCAATATTTAAGATTTAAGCACACTTAGTCATGTCAGCTGTATTAGCAATTTCATCACACAAAAAGAATTAATCAAATTCTGCACATTTTATTGCAGATAAAAAATATTCTTTGATCAAGATAATTTGAAATGGCCTTATAGAAGTTGTGGTATCAAAGACGACACAGTTGTCTGATGGATTTGAACTGTTATGTTTGTCGTATTGTCATCATGAAGTCTTTGGTCAGCTTCATTCTTCCCTGACAGATTGATGGACTTATCCAAGGGCGTAAGTTTCGCCCCTCGGATTGTAGCTCAGGGTAGGGACGGATGACAAAACTCAGGGGTGAAGTTTAAGACGACAGCAGCCATGTTTATTGTTGATGGTTTGGAATAAGTCGAAAAGGTTCATGTTGATAATAACGTGATGACAGAACGCACACCGGGACCGAGTGGCCAATGTTCCCGGGTGAAGACTCGCTCTGTCACTTACCTTCTGGCTGTCTCCCGACTGACCATGTCAGTCGGATTTTGTAGAGCGAGGTATTACGTAACGTGTGGCAAGGTCACATATGTAAAATCCGGCGACGTAAGGAGGTGTTAATTGGAATTTATAGATAGCGCTGGAGATTAAGGGTCCTATCCGGAGCGGCTTATGATAAGAGGGGATACGCCGAATGTTTGCTGAATATATTAAACAGACAAAGGGCATAGAATTTCGGTGCACTTGGAAACATATTGAACCAGTTAGGTATTTAGATAAATGAAATGTTAAATAAGTATTGAAATGGTTTGCACTAGTTTAAATAAAAGTATTGAAATAGTTTGCACTATAACAATACCCCTGAACGTCGTGGAGCTTTTGTCCTCAAAAGTGTTTTAAAAATAGTAACAATGTTGAGTAGAAGTACAAGTACAGTACAATGCAAGTGACGTCGACAGGTTGACAAGTAGTTGCTTCATGCACTACACGTGATTGAGATGAATGAAATGACATTAGATAAGATATACAGTCGTGTAAAAGTAAATAAGTGAATAACAGCATTGTCAATACCGATGAAACAACAATACATAACATT